TCAGTTGGTGGCAGGAGGTCTTCAGGCTGGGAGGCTAAGAACGCTATTGAGTCCTGTGGAGGAATTGCTATCTTTTGGGATAGGAGTGAGTTCGAGTTGGTGGATAGTTGGGAGGGCAGATACTCGCTTGTTGTTCGTCTTAAAAAGGTTCGAAATGAGGTGGTTGTGGCCATTGTCATGGTCTATGGCCCCCATGAGAGAGATGGTAAGTTGGCTTTCCTTCGTGAATTGAATATGGTTTGCCGGACCTATAGCGCCCCGATGTGCATAATGGGAGATTTTAATCTTGTAAGATCTGAGGAGGACTATAGGGGGTGTTCCGTGGTGCAAGGATATGATGGTTGAATTTAATTCCTTCATCAACAATAATGCTTTGATTGATCTACCGCTCTCTGGGGTTGCCTTTACTAGGAGTGGAGGTGGAGTTAACGCCTCGCTCTCCCGCATTGATCGTGCCTTAGCTAATACAAGTTTTGAAGAATCCTTCTCTCCGGGCCCGCTACAAGTGTTCGAGCGGGTTGAATCTGATCATAATCCAATCGTTATGCGTTGGGGTTCTGACAAACATTTGCACCGTCCGTGGATTTTTGAGACATGTGGTTCCTGGAGGAGTCTTTATTGCAGAATTGGTTAGTTGGTGGTGTGTTCCTGTTAGTGGCTCGGGTCTTCTGTTTCGCGTTGGGCAGAGGTTGAGGCAAACTAAACAACTTATTAAAGTGTGGAATGTTGAAGTTTTTGGTAAGGTGCAGCTGTAGATTGAGAGTCTCCTTAAAAGGATCAAGGATATTGACGAGGCAGAGGAGTTGGGACCGATTTCGTTTGCTTTGAACAATGAGAGAAGCCTGTTGAATTGTGAACTGGACAGAACGCTTTTGATGGAAGAGATTTCATGGCGGCAGAAGTCTCGCGAGGTGTGGATTAATGTGGGGGATAAAAACTCCTCTTACTTTCATCGTGTCGCCAATAGTAATGGTCGAAAGAATAGAGTGTCCCATCTGAAAGTTAATGGCATCATTATTAATGACAAGGAAGGAGTGAAGCAGGTCATTATTGAGCACTTCCAGAGCAGGTTCTTGGAGGAAAGATGAGGGCGGCCCTTTCTTAGTGACTTCAAAAGGAATGTGTTTACTTTGGATGATAATTATACTCTGTCGAGACCATTTTGCGAAGCGGAGGTGTGGAATGCAGTCTGCTCGTGCGGAAGGGACAAGGCGCCGGGTCCCGATGGATTCACTTTGGAGTTTTACAGGAAGGCATGAAAGATTGTTAAGGGGATGTGCTCAAAGCGGCGAATGAGTTCTCTTTGCTGGGCTATTTGCCAGAATCGATCGGTCATTCGTTTCTTTATCTGATTCTGAAAAAGGAAGTTGTTGAGGAGGTGAGAGACCTTCGACCTATCAGCCTCATCGGCAGCCTTAATAAGCTCATTTCCAAGCTTCTTTTCAACCGCCTTCAACCATTTATGAGCCGGGTTATCTCGATGAAGCAGTTTGCCGGAATTAAGAAGAGACAAATTCATGAGGCTGTCCTTATTGGGAATGAATTGGTGGATAGTCGGAAGAAAAGTGGTCGTCCGGGGATTGTGTTCAAACTAGATATCGAGAAGGCGTTCAACACAGTTAGTTGGGAATGCTTATTCAAGATTCTGCATAATATGGGATTGTGTCCGAGGTTCCAAAAGTGGCTTAGAGGCGTGGTCACCACTCCTAAATTGTCGGTTCTAATCAATGGTGAAGCATCGGGCTACTTTGATCGGCAACGAGGTCTTAAACAGGGTGATTCCTTATCTCCTTTTCTATTCAGCCTGGTAATGGATATTTTTTCTTACATTATGGATCAAGCACAAGAAGTGGGGCTGATTAAAGGGTTCTATATGGATGCTTCGAGTAAACTGGGTGAAGTTAATCACCTTCTTTATGCTGATGATGCGATTGTGTTTTGTGAAGCTACTGAGGAGGCTGCCATTAACCTTACAGCGACCCTGATTTGGTTCCAAAGTATCACTAGTTTGAGGGTGAATTTTGAGAAGAGCAAAGTATGTTTGGTGGGTGAGGTCGAGATTATAGATCGGATTGCGGAAATTCTGGTTGTGAGTGGGGTTTTCTCTATACTGATTATCTGGGTTTCCCCCTAGGTACATCGTCGTCGAGTGTTGCTGCTTGGAATGTTGTTATTAACAGGGTGGAGCGCAGACTGGCTGATTGGAAGAAAAGCTACCTTTCGCTTCGGGGAAGAATTACCTTGTGTTAAGCTGTCTTATCTAGTCAGCCCATTCACTTATTTAGTCTCTTCAGGGCACCTAGCATTGTCATTAATCGGCTAGAGAAAGCTCAGTGAGATTTTATATGGTCCGGAGGTCCCGATGATGGGAAAATTCATCTGGTTGCTTGGAACGTTTGCAAAGGGCCTAAGAAACTTGGCGGTCTCGGTATTGCCGACCTCAAGCTAAGAAATCAAGCTCTGTTGTGTAAGTGGTGGTGGCGATTTGCCCTCGAAAGGGGTGCATGGTGGCGTGAACTCATCAACCTCAAGATCCTACTGATAAGCCAGAATGGATGTCTGGATCTGTTCGTGGCCCCGCAGGTGGCAGCCCTTGGGCACAAATTCTGAAACTAAAGAACACTTTCTGGAAATTTGCTAGGGTCGAGCCAGTTTCTGGGAGTGGAACCTCCTTTTGGAATGATGTGTGGATTCCGGGCCGATTGCTTATTGTTGATTTCCCGCGGGTTGCTGCTGCCTCTACCGCGCCGAATTTCAATATTTCTGATGTGGTCAGACAGCAAGGTGAGAGGGTTTCTTGGGAGTTACCGCTTATCCATAGCCTGAGGGGGGGGGGGGGAGAGAGATAAAAAAAAGTTTATTCATGATTCTTAACAATCTGTCCGCTAACAGTGTCTTTGCGGGACCAACTCGGCTTATTTGGGAACCATCACTATTTGTCGGCTTCAGGGCGCGTTCGCTGTATGTAGAGCTCATTAAAGACAGTATCCCTAACCATGGTGATTACCCGACTAAGGTGATTTGGCAGGATGTTATCCCACATAAAATCTGTGTGTTCATGTGGATCGTGTTCTAGAGGAAGATTCTCACACATGACAGCCTGAAGCGGAGAGGATGGTCTTTCCCCAGTCGGTGTGTGCTATGTGGCGATAACGAAGAGACAATCCACCACCTCTTTCTCCTTTGCAGGTTTTCCCGTCATGTGTGGAGAGTGATGACCAGTTTTGTCCGACTTCAGAACTGTTACACCCCGACATTTGGGTCCAGGTTCGACCGAACAGTTGGATCGACGATTACGTACGAATGATGACAACTGCAATAATAGTTATTATTATTATTATTATTATCATTTTATATAATAATCATCACCATCTTTAATATTATTATTTAAAAAAAAAAGGGAATTAAACCCCACCCATCTGTACACCATCCCACTCTCCACCTAATCCACTTTCTAATAGTTATTCCCCACTCCCCACCTCCCCATATTAAGTAGCAACGGCAGAAAGAAGAAGAAGGAAGGAAGAAGAAAGAAAGAAAGGTGCCGCAGTCGTCGAGTCCCCCGGCGAAGACCAGCCCCGACTAGCAGCAGCTGCGACACGTTACCACCACCAAGAGACCAGCAACGCCATCTTCCTCCCTCCCGGTTTCACCATCGTCGACCTTCCCCGCGCTGTCGCCTCTCCGTCCACTACGTTGGACTTGACGTCAATGAAGAAGAAAAAAAATGAGAGAATAGAAAGAGAGGGAAATGAATGATTCTGGGCATTGGTTTTTGCTCGGAAGAAGATGAGGAACCATTATACGGAGTCGGAATCCAAGTTGGAGGTCGTTAGAGGCCTCGTCGGAGCTTCGCCGGAACGTCGCCGGAGTGTCGCCGGATTCTGGAAAAATAAACTTCGACGAAACTTCAAAAGATGAATATGGTTGCGTAGAGGGCGATCTCAGGAGCGTCACGGTGTCGACGAAATCGAATTCGGACGTCGGATGAGGGAGAACCGAGTCTCCCAAGTTTGAGGAAGAATATGTCAGCCATCAGGTACCATTTTTGAAAATTCGAAAGAGTTAGGGGATTAAATCTGTAATTTTCTAGAATTCGGGTCAACTGTGTTGACTGGAAAATTTCAGTTTCGGTACTTGATACCTCTAAACTGACAGAATATTTATTTTGGCCATAACTCGATCAATTGACGTCCGATCGAGGAATCGTCTGCGCCTATGGAATTGTGGGGACGAATAGAATTTGATGGAAGCGATACATGGAATTTTTAGAGTGGAATCAGAGTCGGTTTCAAAAGAAATGAGGTGAGTGTAAAGGGGGTAAATTCTACGCCTTACGGTTTTCAAGTATCTGCCTTAAGTAATTTCGAGTATTGATTTACGTGGTGTGTGTGCATTATTTGATTCATGTTTGAGATTGCATGATTATGGTTGAGGTTATGTGCCTTGTTTGAGTTATGACTTGAAATGAGTGGTTATTATTTACTTGAAATTCTACGAGTATAAGTTATTGTTAAAGTTGAGAAACAAGTCCTCTTTAAAGAAAGTACTTCACCTTCTAAGAAGGTGAAAGAGTTAAGTGTTTTTAGTCACTAGCGTCAGTCCGTTGCCATATGAGATTTTGAGATAGAGCAGCAGTTATGCTCTTGAGAATTGTGGTGAAGAGCCACCACGATAAGTTTAAGATGTTAGGGGGATGAATCGTTACGACTTCCCTAACTAAGTTTAAGTTTAAGGAAAGCCTGAATGGCTTCTCATACGTATGAGTTGGCAACCGGACTAGCTAGTGAGGGATCCCCGTGTCAGTCAAGTATTGAAGTCAAGATTTGAGCTTTAAGAGAGGAGAGTAACTTCAACTCCCTCAAAGTTTAAGAGTTAAGATTTTAAGATTGGAAGTACAAACAACTTCCACCAGTTAAAGTTAAGTGTGTAAGTAAAATACTCAAGTATTAGAAGTATTAAAACGTAAGGGCGTAGACTGACCCCATCTCACTCACTAGTTCGAGGAGCAGTTAGTGAGCAGCGAGTTTGTGGGCAGCCAGCTAGAGGAGAGCAGTAGAAGCGCCACGGAGGATGCTCAGTCAAGGTTTTCAGTAGCAACAACTTCAAAGATTATTTGTTATTTACATTTATGATTATGAGTACAGACTGGAGATTATTTGGAGATCAGATTGAGATTTTAAAGTTTGAGTTTAATTTGCCCACATGTTAGGGCTTTGCTTCGAACTACAAGTGTGTGTTTTCAGTATTTTATTTATGAATTTTTTTTTTCCGTTGCAATTTAACCTTTGACTATTTTATCTATCAAGGGCATTTTAGTAAAAGTAGTACCCGGCCGGGTTAGAGTGTTTCATTTTGGTATCAGAGCCGGTCTTCCTCTGTTCCTTGGTCTTCAAGGAATACTGGAGTGACGATCTGAGTTTTTCAAGGTTTTTGGTTTTTAAAGGAAAGGAAAAATGGTGTCAGGTTTAAGGTTTGGCCAAAGGAGTCAAGGTTTCTTTTGAGGATTTTTAAAATCTCCAGTCTACTCTAATCATAATAAGGTGAATAGCAATAAAGGTACGACATGACGGAATTTTAGCACGAGGGTGCGATTGATTTAAGAATAAGCTGGGAGACGATTTAGTTAACACGTCATGGTTTGTCAAATGAGAGATTTAGGCATATGGCGATCATTAGTAATAAAGAAAGGACGCAAGAAACGCGACCAACCCTAGTAGAATCTCGAAGGCTCTCGAGATCAAGTATCTCGTTGATATGATGAATAGTAGTTTTTTGAATTAGTTAACCAAGTACTCGGATGTTATCAATAGATCATTACCATCAACCTAGAGAAGGAAGGAGGAACGTTGCAAAGGTCTGTGGAGGTAGAATCAAAACTGCAAGGACCTCAATTTCAAACACCAGCAAAAAGGTGCCAATTGAAAGGGAATACCTCGAGGATTTTGAAGGAGTTGAAAGAGTAGTACGAGGATTTTACTACTTGGAGATAAGTGTAGGATCTAATAAGCTAAGACAAACAAAGGGGAGAAATATGAATCTCCGAAGGAAGAGGTACAATCACCAGATGCCAGTAGCTATGATAATAGGAGGGTGTCAGGGTCTTTGTTCCTAAGCAGTGACGAGTCAAGAAACTAAGAGGTATTAGTGGTCAACGCTATTACAACACAGTGATAAGGATCAATGGAAAGCTTAGACTTCAAGAGAAGCTAGGATAGTAAAGGAGGAAATAAGTCAGTTTTAGGGAGTATGAAAGGACGTCAAGAAGTCAATAGGTCAAGGCGGATAGGAAGCATTGTCATGTACAGATGAAGATAAAGGAACCCTTATAGATAAACTACATCACTAGTGAAGAGGGTACATGACCCTAGGGATTTAGGTCGATGTCAAGCATTTAGAAGGAACAAGGCAAGCAACGAGATGAATGATGTAGAGGACATGCTATGGTAACAGTACGACCACCATTAGACGAGACAAGGAGGAAATTGCCACCAAAGCCTAAAGCATGCCTGATACAAGACAGTGGTGAGCCAATGCGTAAGAAAAGACATGGAATGTGATGAGAATAACTGTTAGTGAGTATTAATAAAGAACTACTTCTCAGCAATGCGTGAGTTGAATATTAAGTTAGCACAGAGCTAGAAAGAGGATATTAGAGACACTACAAACTACCTAGATCACGAAAGGTCAGGAGGTCGTTGGGACCGTTGAAAGGGGAATGCAAGAGTTCGTGATGATCTGTTATGTGGTTTTCCTATCCTAAATGGAGGGAGCACCTAGCCACCTAGGGTTTGTGAGGGGTGACAGAAGGAGGAACTTCCATAGAAAGTTGGAAATAGGGAGCTAAGAGCTGAAGTCTCGAAACTAGATATAGGAGTAAGTCATTAAGCCAACCGATTATAAAAAAAAAGTAGTAAGTTGAACATTCAATAAATGTTCTAATGAATGGCAGAGAATTCGAGGAAGCACATGGAAGTTTTGATGAAGGATTGGGAATATGTGTAGGTGAATCGGGTTCAAGAAAATGCATAGTGGAGTGAGACGAGGAAAAGCATTACCAAGAAAGAAGAAATCATTAAATTACCTTACCCAAGGTGCCCCACTATGAGTGGGAGCGACATAGTAGGATGTCATCCAGAGGAAATGGCTAGTTAAGGATAAGTAAGACACGTTCAGTTAAGCCACTAAGAACCCAGACTATGAGATTAATGCCATATGCAGTCATCAATCGAGACAAATGACGTGAATGAGGTATGTTAAAGCCTACCCAGGAAAATCCCCTATTGGAAGATTTTACCCAAACAATAACGAGAAGATACTCAACGGAGTTTGGTGACCAAATATAGCAAAGCAACAACGGAAAGAGAACACCATAGGACGTTACAGAAAGAAAATGGTGGTTGTCGACCGGGCGATGCATGCGTAAAGAAAGATAGCTAGGATGGACCGAAGCAAGAATATAACAAACAACAAAAAAAAACATTAGGTTGATTACCAGTAACGAACAATCAATCCATAGGAAGTCCATCAGGAAATTTTGGCCAATTGTAAGGTGGAATCGTGGTCGTTAAGAATAGTCAAAGGGAGAACTTTATAAGTCAAGGACTCAAGGTACATTAGTAAGAAGAGAATATGAGAACCTAGATGGCTACATCGAGAATAAGGGACATCATCTAGAACTAACAAGGAACATCAGAAAGAAGAGTCACGAGTAAGGAAGTAAGATGGATATGAGTTTAGGGAACCTGATGAAATACCCCAAAGTGAAACCAAGATCGTCTATCCTGGTGAAAGGTGGAAATCTATCGTGAGAATTTTTTTGGACGGGGAGACCGTACGAGGAATTTCAGCTAGGGTCTAAGAGTGGCAAAATGGATAATACGTGAACTTTAAATTCAAGCGACGATAAGGAAGTGCTAAGTTAGGCATCAGGAATAAACAAGAAAGCCAATGAGAATGTCATGATTCTAGAAAGAAGTCATAAAGTTGACCGCATGCTAGGGAAAGACGTAAAGTATGTCTCTAGTGCATACAGAAAGTAAAAGCAGTAGTATGAGGCTTCAGCGTTAAACAACGACTAACGAGCAGATGGCCACTCAATTTATGGTTAAAGGATAAGACAAGGCATCAAGGAAAAAAGTAAGAGATGCAAAGTTAGGAGATATAAGGACCTAAGTGGCCTATGAGGTCAAATCCGGGCGAGAGTTACGGTAAAAGAGTTTTACATCTAACTGGATAGAGGATAAGCCGCCATATGTAACCTTAAGGTTCAAGAGAAGCATTAACGTCTGGTATACCGAATAATGGAGATAGTTATTGTTTTAACATATGTCCATGATGCAACATAGGTGACGTGAGGGGTTAAGAAACCACCAAAACAGTCAAGGTTGCCAAGGAATCGAAGGAAGGATTTATAGGTCATGTCTTACAAGTTAAAGGAAATCCAAATCCTCGAAATTTTTTTTTTACCACAAGCGAGGCATGGAGAAATCAAAGTGGACATTTTCGAGGGCGAAATTTCTATAAATGGGGAGGCTATTGCCGTCTCCCTGATGAGCCCAAGGCAGGGCGAAACCAATTTGCATGCTTATGCAGAGAGGCTAGTCTTGAGGAATGAGTGCACCTCAACAAGCCACACGGATTTCAAAGTCTATAAGTGGGGAGGAAAATGTGATATCTCGACCCCGATTTAAAGTCCAACAATGAGTACCAAATGAGTGGGACCAGTAGCCACTCAATGCTACTAGATTCTTACGAGGTTAGTGAAAATACCTTTTATGACATAGAGGGAATACAAGAAACAATGTAATCTATACGGGAAAAGCAATAAAAATCGTCGAAGTTCAGATAGCGAGAGTAATTCTTGAGTCAAGAAAGAATAAGGATGGTGTAGTCATAGGAATGAGCTTTGAGAAAATTTCGAGGTCGAAATTTATTTAAGGGGGAGGGAAATGTTACATCCCAGTCAAATTAATACCAGTCGAATACAAGTGTTTGTGCCTCAACACCTATCCAACTGTTTTAATTTCGGGGACGAAATTTTTATAAGGGTGGAGGAAATGTTACACCCCGACATTTGGGTCCAGGTTCGACCGAACAGTTGGATCGACGATTACGTACGAATGATGGCAACTGCAATAATAGTTATTATTATTATTATTATCATTTTATATAATAATCATCACCATCTTTAATATTATTATTAAAAAAAAAAAGGGAATTAAACCCCACCCATCTGTACACCATCCCACTCTCCACCTAACCCACTTTCTAATAGTTATTCCCCACTCCCCACCTCCCCATATTAAGTAGCAACGGCAGAAAGAAGAAGAACGAAGGAAGAAGAAAGAAAGAAAGGTGCCGCAGTCGTCGAGTCCCCCGGCGAAGACCAGCCCCGACTAGCAGCAGCTGCGACACGTTACCACCACCAAGAGACCAGCAACGCCATCTTCCTCCCTCCCGGTTTCACCATCGTCGACCTTCCCCGCGCTGTCGCCTCTCCGTCCACTACGTTGGACTTGACGTCAATGAAGAAGAAAAAAAATGAGAGAATAGAAAGAGAGGGAAATGAATGATTCTGGGCATTGGTTTTTGCTCGGAAGAAGATGAGGAACCATTATACGGAGTCGGAATCCAAGTTGGAGGTCGTTAGAGGTCTCGTCGGAGCTTCGCCGGAACGTCGCCGGAGTGTCGCCGGATTCTGGAAAAATAAACTTCGACGAAACTTCAAAAGATGAATATGGTTGCGTAGAGGGCGATCTCAGGAGCGTCACGGTGTCGACGAAATCGAATTCGGACGTCGGATGAGGGAGAACCGAGTCTCCCAAGTTTGAGGAAGAATATGTCAGCCATCAGGTACCATTTTTGAAAATTCGAAAGAGTTAGTGGATTAAATCTGTAATTTTCTAGAAGTCGGGTCAACTGTGTTGACTGGAAAATTTCAGTTTCGGTACTTGATACCTCTAAACTGACAGAATATTTATTTTGGCCATAACTCGATCAATTGACGTCCGATCGAGGAATCGTCTGCGCCTATGGAATTGTGGGGACGAATAGAATTTGATGGAAGCGATACATGGAATTTTTAGAGTGGAATCAGAGTCGGTTTCAACAGAAATGAGGTGAGTGTAAAGGGGGTAAATTCTACGCCTTACGGTTTTCAAGTATCTGCCTTAAGTAATTTCGAGTATTGATTTACGTGGTGTGTGTGCATTATTTGATTCATGTTTGAGATTGCATGATTATGGTTGAGGTTATGTGCCTTGTTTGAGTTATGACTTGAAATGAGTGGTTATTATTTACTTGAAATTCTACGAGTATAAGTTATTGTTAAAGTTGAGAAACAAGTCCTCTTTAAAGAAAGTACTTCACCTTCTAAGAAGGTGAAAGAGTTAAGTGTTTTTAGTCACTAGCGTCAGTCCGTTGCCATATGAGATTTTGAGATAGAGCAGCAGTTATGCTCTTGAGAATTGTGGTGAAGAGCCACCACGATAAGTTTAAGATGTTAGGGGGATGAATCGTTACGACTTCCCTAACTAAGTTTAAGTTTAAGGAAAGCCTGAATGGCTTCTCATACGTATGAGTTGGCAACCGGACTAGCTAGTGAGGGATCCCCGTGTCAGTCAAGTATTGAAGTCAAGATTTGAGCTTTAAGAGAGGAGAGTAACTTCAACTCCCTCAAAGTTTAAGAGTTAAGATTTTAAGATTGGAAGTACAAACAACTTCAACCAGTTAAAGTTAAGTGTGTAAGTAAAATACTCAAGTATTAGAAGTATTAAAACGTAAGGGCGTAGACTGACCCCATCTCACTCACTAGTTCGAGGAGCTAGAGGAGCAGTTAGTGAGCAGCGAGTTTGTGGGCAGCCAGCTAGAGGAGAGCAGTAGAAGCGCCACGGAGGATGCTCAGTCAAGGTTTTCAGTAGCAACAACTTCAAAGATTATTAGTTATTTACATTTATGATTATGAGTACAGACTGGAGATTATTTGGAGATCAGATTGAGATTTTAAAGTTTGAGTTTGATTTGCCCACATGTTAGGGCTTTGCTTCGAACTACAAGTGTGTGTTTTCAGTATTTTATTTATGAATTTTTTTTTTCCGTTGCAATTTAACCTTTGACTATTTTATCTATCAAGGGCATTTTAGTAAAAGTAGTACCCGGCCGGGTTAGAGTGTTTCAAGAACCCCCAGCAAGATATTACTGCTACCATCAAGGAGTGGCCGAAGGATACTGCCTCAAGTCCACAGATGTAGTGTACTAAAATCTTCCTCCTCGCTTTCTGTTGGCGCATCTGGCTAGAAAAAATTGTCTGGATCTTTAGGGACGAGGTCCAGGCTGTTCTTGGCACTTGTTTCAGGATCATTTGCAGCATCCATGACTGGTTGTGCGCTTCTAACAAGGTTGACAGACGTGTGGCTGACTAATGGAGGCTGGTTGACAAGGATCGATTGCTTCCAAGGCCGCAGGCTCCCAGTGTGACCGAGGATACCATCGACCCGTCAGGGTTGAGGCTGATTTCGTGAACCTGTGTTGCTGATGTGTTGCTGTTCTGTTTGTGGTTGTAGCTTCCCTGTGTTCAGCTTCTTTTGGTTCTCTGATTTCGCTGTGTTTCTGCTGGGGCTGTGGGTGCCTCGCATGCACCTCCTTGTGTGTTTTTCATGTTGATACTGTCCTCTCTTCCTCAATAAAATTTTTATCGCCTTTATAAAAAAAATATATGAAAAAATATATTTTAGTACTTAAAAATGTTTCCTATTACATTTTGATTACCACCAACCAAACAAATAATTAGAGCAATCAACATAATGCAATAAAGCATCTCACATCACTCCGAGCTAATTTCTTATGACGTTCACCCATATCAAAATGAATCAGATCCAAAGATCCTTACACATTTATGAATCTTTTAGCTTGTCTATGGAAATCACATATCTTTCACAACCATTACGAGAATGTGATTTTAGCTATTCAATTCTTATATAATGCATGTCAAACACGTAAGAATTCGTCACATTAACTTTAAAGTCAAACATATCATCATATGCATACTCTCATGACCATCGGAGTGAGCAGTGGTATGCTAAACAACATTTTCTTAACCTCTAACCAGACACCATTCTCTAGAGTTACCATCAAGGTTAACCTCTAACCCGCCCCACCAAGAATATTTGTTCACATATAAAAAATACATGGATCAAATAGTAATCTATCAATGATAGTGAGGGTAACTCAAAAAAAATAATTAGTATAAATGCAATTGAGTGGCCACCCAAATCAAAACCTAATTCCTTTTACTCAACTCTCTCTTCACTCTTTCACGTTTTCCCTTGTGTTAGAAAGATCATGTTAGTTAGTTATTGCTTAATAAATGTATTTGAGTCAGAGAATAATGATTTGGATTACATTGTATATCTTATGGGTTAATGGTTGTTTTAGACTAAGATGCTTTGAGCCATATTAAGAATGATTATCACTTTGTCGACTTTATGATATAGTAGGTGCGTTTAATGTTAAAATCGAAAATTTACAAGTAAAATTTTAGGTATTACAATGTTGGGTGTATGGGCGTGTATTACCCATGGGTACCCGTAACCCACGGGTATGGGGATGAGTTTGCAAAATGATCGCCCGTAAGTAACAAAGGAAAAATAGGCAAGGGTACCTATCGTTTTAAGGTAGTATAGCAGGAAGCAAGGTCGTATCCACAGAGACTTCGTGTACTAATACTCAGCTTTTACCTATTATCTAGTCAATTGTTTTTAATTGATTTTCGTTTACAGATAAAAACACACGCAATAATAAAAACACAATAAAGTAGTTTTCAAAGTAAAATCAAGTGGAGAAGGCGTTGTCCCGGAAGTGAATCCCCCTAATATGAAATTTTCATACAAGTTGAATTTAACATAGACGAGTGTTCATATCTTAGACCGTGAAAATTTCCAATTTAGTGTTAACGCATTCGCACATGTTTTAACACCCTTTCGACTTAAGAATCAAGTGAAGCTTACAAGACTCTTCAACCAAAGCATTAACCAGATTTGTGAATTTTCGTATTAGGTTTTTAAGCTAATCCAGAGGAACTACATGACCCCATCGTCGGTGGCTCCGATCAATTCCTTCTTTCACGAGAGATCTAACATGCCAAATTACCTCACAGTCTCATTTACATGTATCAGAAAAATATACAATAGACGCGCACTATTGATACTTGCACATGATAAGTCGAGAAAAGATCGTAAGAATGAGAACAACATGTCTATATCAAAGTTACCACTCAATCCATATAAAGCATATTAGGGTTCACCAAATCCGGAACAACTAGAAGATTAGCAGGACATTATGAGATTTAGAAAGAAGAAGGTTGAGAACATTACCATGACGACGATGATGACGAAGAACGGAGGGGCTGAGAATACAGTATGTATATTGAGTTAATAGATTACACCTAGCAAATTTCAGACGGGGGAATATTCTTTGGGTGAAGACGGTGGAAACCGACCAATATACCATTACTTACGATTATCAAAACCCCACAGAACAAAAGCTTACTTCGGTAATCTCAATAACGCAATATACCACGGTATTCCCAAATACGAACACGAACATGAAGAACACGATGGAAGAAGTATGAGATGATGATGAATAATATAAAAACAATGAGAGTTCTGACGGGAAATGAAAACAACACTTTGAAATAAAATAAAAATAAGGAGGACAGAATTTGGGATAGTTTCTAAGCTATAGTGAGGGTGTTTTTTCCAGCTCCCTTTTCTTCTCTTGCAAGGCTCTATTTATAGGCAACAATAGGCTGAACACACCATAGAACACGATCGTGTTCCAAGCCGTGTTCATAGCTGGTCGTCATAACAACTTGTAAGTACTTGCAGAGACTGATTGGAGAGTTTTCTTTTGAACGTGGGCTAGAACACGACCGTGTTCCAGGCCATGTTCCCTTGTAGATAACCAAAACTTTCGGTTGAATGATTGAAACGTGTTGAAACTGGTCGACACACCCAGAACACGGTCGTGTTGACAAACTGTGTTAGATCCAGCGATCGACAGCGTCGTAAATGTTATCTTCTGCCAAAAATGAATGCGAGAAGTGGCCAGATGACCAACACGACTCGGAATACGGCCATGTTGGGACCCATGTTCTTTGTTTATTGTCGTCTTCGACGTGGCACGAAATTGGAGGTATTGCAGGAGAACACGACCTAGAACACGACCGTGTTTCCAGGGTGTGTTAACCTTAGCACGGTTTGTGAACATGGTAATGTTGCTGAGTGTGTTGATGTTGACGTGGTCGCGGTCGCGGAACATGGCCATGTTGCTGCCCACGTTGGTCCTTTGACAGCTTTTCCTTCAGTTATCAACGGTAGTTTGACTCTGCAGTTTGTGGTAGACTCTGCATCGTCACTTGACTCGCCAAAATAATAGTCGACATGTTTCGTATAATGAAACCAAAGGGGACGCGGCTGGAGTGGTACGGCTCTTTGCCCCCGCCCGGGACATCGCGGGCTCGAGTTCCACCAACGCCAGATTTTGAACCCTAACCATCATTTTGCTTTCTTCCTATATGTCCCTCGATCTTTTGTTTCTTTTGGATATAATGCCCTGAAAAATCACTCAAACACAAAACCAAGCGTAAAACTAGAAAATCGGATGAACTTAATATTATTTAGGTCATTTTAGGATATAAATGTGTTGGTGAAAAATGTGTATTTTAGGTGTCATCAAATTCCCTCACACTTAATCCTTTGCTTGCCATCAAGCAAAGCACGAAAAATCTAAGTTCAATCAAAGCCAATTTCACACAAAACTCCAACCGAAAGTTAGGAAGAGGTGAATCTCATATGAATGCTAAAAATGATGCAATAGGTAGCGTGACATGGATGCTTTCAATCACCACAAACAAAATTTGATCATAATACTCCTGTGACATGGGCAACTCTAACTCAGATTTATAAGTCTCTCTCACTAGACCAGTGGGGTCAAGGTAATTGCGTGTAGCATGTAATTATCAATCTTTCCCTACCATCTCTTTGTCATGAGCTTGTTGTTCGAGTCTCCAAAGTTGTGTCACCACTGACTTGTCAGGTAGGTCTTTGATCAGGTTTCAAATGGGGCTAGGGGTACGGACATGTAGAAGTTCTTTTAGTCTGGTGGTAAGTTCAAGGTTCCAAAAAATTTCCGCACTGAAAACCATGAATTTTCTGCTTCTCTTTGTAAGATGAAAATATAGACAAGGGAGAACATTTTGAGAATTAATAGGAGTTTTAAAATGTAGCCAATGTGGCTTTTGAAGAATGACTCCTATTTATTGTAAGTGCATGAATTTGTTTTTTGAAAAATGCACTTGCATAAATCGTTTCTCCCTATCTCAACTTTTTTATTTAATAAAGGAAGCAGAAAGTCATTTGCTTAAACCATTCACACGGAACCTTGAAAAAGGGTTCAAAATGATTTGAGGCTTGAAGAACAAGGATTGGTTTAAAACAGGTTGCCAGCGAACAAAAAGGGTCGTCTCAACGGGGTTTGACTACGAGATATGATGTTCAGGGTAGTCATTTTGGTTGTAGAGGTAAAACCTATTGCCTCCGTCATCCTTATCAGTGGTGTCACGACTCGAACATGTATAAATCAAGCATATCATCATGCACAGAGAGGGATCTAACACACAAGAAAGAAACGATCTTGCTCAAGTCTCACGTGGCTTACTATATGCTCGATTTCTCATGCTTTGCTTCCCAAACATTATGCAATAACAATCAAAGATGCTAAACTTCCTTTTCAAGATTTCAGATAGTTCTTGTCATCAAATAATGAGTAGCACGAGAAACATTTGTTTTAATCCCTCAGTCGTCATTATAGGTTGACATGCATCCAAATCACACTTTTCTTGTACCAATTTTAGACAAAGATGAGACTAAAAACAAAACACTCTTTTTAGTATTTATTTGAATTTATGTTTTTTAAAATTTTTATGATTTTTTCAAACTCATTTGGTTTAATACACTTGTATATCCAA